GGGGGGTTCGGGGGGCGGCGCTTTTTTTTGCTGCTTGGGGCAGCAAAAAAGTTAGAGCCGGCCCTGTATAATGCAAAACCTAGTAAATATATTCTCCTTTCTATTGTAGTTACCTCTCTCTTTCTAGCCTCTTCTAAGCTGTCCACTGCTTCTCTCAGTTGGGCATTTACAATTTCTTCTTCTTTCATTTTAAGTTCAATGATCTAAATCAGAAAATAAGCAGTAGATGAGAAAAAAGAACCAGAATCTTTCCTTTCATTCCTAACAGAGTTGAAATCCCACTCAACCCATTATATACATGTAATCTCTGGGAAAATTAATCATGTGTAAGTAGGCACATGCCCAGTGAAGTCAATGGTGATGTGCCCTCTTACACCAATAGTGAATTTGGCTCATAGTCATAAACATGATTTAAAATTTTTATTTAAGCACCAGGAATTTGCAACAAATTAAGAAATAATAAGTAATTATTTTTTAAAATTGTGAATATTAAATATTTCAACTGGAGAAACTCACAATTATATACTTCGCATTCTACTGCACAGATTTAAAAAAATGTCAGAGGTCACTAGCTATTACTGTACCAGAGTTAATTCCAATTAGTGCCAAATATATCCTTTTGAATAGGGACAAAGAAAGTATATATAGGCCTGGGAACATCAACAGGGAAGAGAACTTGGCTGCACATCATTGTTGCTGCAAAGAAATACAGCTGCAGGTGCATTGATCTGACTATAAATAAAGTGGTGCAGATCCTCATCTGCTTTACCTGCTGGCTGCTTCCCTTGCTTCTAGGTCTTTAATCATTTCAGGGCCCTATGGATGATTGGCACATACACAAAAAGGTTTTCCCAAAGCGTGTGTGTTTGGTGTGTGCATACACATGCTGGATGTATAGCTAACACGTTCATCTCCTGTTTAAGTTTTGCCTGACATTGAAACCCGTCATCGAACACAATCCAATGGGCTCCAAGCTTAGAGTGGATTTTGAAATTGGGAATGTAAGATGTTCTATTTCATCTCTTTGGATTTCTAAATACCTCAGTCAAATGTCTCCATTGATTTTCCAAATGTTGGACCTTTTTCTTTTCTTCCTCCACAGATTCCTTTAATTTGTCTTTTTCCTGAGCAACAGCACTGTCCAGAATCTGAGACATCATATCAAATTATCACCCAAGTGCTGACGGTTTGTGTAACAAATAAATAAATATTATTTAGAGGAAAGACATTGTTGAGACGGAAAAGGCAGAGAGCAACTAATATGAGTCAGGGTTTTGGAGGGAGGATGGATTATGAAGGAAGATTAGCTGGACTTGGCACAACTTTAAAAAGAAGAGTGAAGAATACTTCATCAGAGATACTGCAGAGATGACAAAAAGAAAAGGGGAAGTGTATGGTCTGCTGATCAACTGATTAATTTGAAAACCAGAAGTCTGGAAAGGAAGTTCAAGAGGAGACTGATGAATAATTCAGGCAAATTTGTAATGCACAGTGTCATTTGAAATATGGCTACTAGCAAGAAATTAAGTCAAGTTGGAGAGAACTGTGATTTTTTTTTTAAAGTAATTGTCCCCCTCACTAACCCCAGATATTCTGAAGATCTGTATTTCCCAGAATTTAAAGGAAGTCAGTGAAGACTGGTAAAGTCACAGACCAAAATCTGATCTAACAGGGATATTTTTCTTCACAAATATATATGCTGATATATTTCAATTGTGGAGGGCTGTTTCCATAACAGAGGCTACAGCAGTTTTACAAAGGGATACATTTATGCCATCATCCCACCGTTCACAAACAGCCCTATAATATGCATTCCACCAGTGAGGGCATGTGAAGGGGAGGAAAAGGTGAGATGCAAATTCTAGCTTCAGCCTCCCGGGGAGTTATTCTAAATAATATCACTACTGAATATATTATAGTACTTCTATAAAGCATCTTTTATACAAAATTATCAAAGCACTTCACAAACATACTGTGAGGTAAATTAATCAATTATTATCCCATTTGAAATATCAGTCATCTGATACACAGAATGGTTTACATTTTCTTGCCCGGGCTCAGATAAGGAGTCAGCCGTGGAGCCGTGAACAGAAGGGCTCCTGATTCTCAATTTGTTGCTCTAAACCTTAGACAACAATGCTTTTAACAGCGACACAATTGTTTTCTACTGGCCCCTTCTTATATTCATTTAGTATTGGTGCAGTAATTGCAAGTCTTGATCTCTCTCCTCACTTTAACAGAAACATACAGACCTAGGCCCAAAGCAGAGCCCCAGATCTGGGGTAAAAGCCTGGCTCCATTGAAGACAATGGCAAAACTCCCATGGACTTCAAAGCTGCCAGGATTTCACCCCTGGACTTTTTAGAAGTTTGGATCTGGATCTGAATTTTGTGGCTAGAGTTTATCTCCTTGATACATGCAAAACACCACAATATATACAAATACATTGCTTGTGCATAAAAGAAACATATTTTTAAAAATAAACTGCTTTACTATACCTTTTTATTTTCTCTCTCTTTTTCTAAAAGTATTAGTTTTATCTTGTCCTGTAATTCTTTCTCATGTTCCACTTTTAGTTCAGTCAGCTTTTCGTGTAGCAGAGAATTCTGGGATTCCTGTAATTTGTCTAATTGGGCCTATAGAGAAATATTAGAAAACAAAGATATTAAGGAACTGGCCCTTTAAGCATAATGAGACGGAATGATGTGGACGTTCACTAACATTTTAACAAACTGTTCAGAAAAGAATGATGTTTAAACAACATTTGTAATTAGTGACTTCTGAAAAAAGAATTCAGCTATAAAACTGGCATTGGACATAGACTGTTTCCATAACACTGCATTGCAGGCATATCCTACACTTCACATCTCTTCTCCACTCTGGATTAATCAATCAAGGTCTCTAAACCAAATCGCTAATAGTTATCACCATATTTTCATAGATTCATAGACTCTAGGACTGGAAGGGACCTTGAGAGGTCATCAAGTCCAGTCCCCTGCCCTCATGGCAGGACCAAATACACCTCTACCTCGATATAACGCTGTCCTCGGGAGCCAAAAAATCTTACCGCGTTATAGGTGAAACCACGTTATATCGAACTTGCTTTGATCCACCGGCGTGCGCAGCCTCGCCCGCTCCCCCCGCCCCCGGAGCACTGCTTTACCGCGTTATATCTGAATTTGTGTTATATCGGGTCGCGTTATATCGGGGTAGAGGTGTACTGTCTAGACCATCCCTGATAGACATTTATCTAACCTACTCTTAAATATCTCCAGAGATGGAGATTCCACAACTTCCCTAGTGGTTTTAATACAAATCCACTAAAAGAGTTTCATGACATTTTTTTTTTTTACCTGCAATGTTTGAATTCTGCCCACAGTTTCATGATTATTCTCCAGCAGACTCTTCATGTATGAGGCCATTCCTTGGCAAGAAATGAAAATGAAAATGACAGGGGTTTATATAATCTCTTTTTTATTACCTGGGGATTTTCTCACTTCTGCATGGAAAGGCCTAGCCAAGGGTGCCGTTTGTTTTGCTTCCTAAATCAATAGCTTCAAGGTTGGCCTTTTTAATCCTAGATTTCACTGTCCTCACTGTAGGTTCTATCCTCCCCTCCTTTTTACAATGCTGAGGAGACCAAATAGATGTAAAAGAGTCAGAAAATAGCCTCCATGGAATCATCCAATGCCACGGGGTAGCTGCTACTAAACCCCCTCTTTACCAAATACATGTGCACAATCCATGCTCTGAGAAGGGAAGGGGCTGGGAGAAGTCAAGGAACAGACGCTCTATGTGGCATATTCATCTCACAGATACATAAAACAAATGAGGGAAACAACTGCAGGAGTTGATACTACTTGGAGCAGCATAACTTTTTGCCCTCCTCCTTCTCCCTCCCCCCTCCATGGCCTTTGTGACACGTTTAGCCTATGAAAGCTTATGCTCAAATAAATTTGTTAGTCTCTAAGGTGCCACAAGTACTCCTATTCTTGTTACAATACCTGTGAGACTGGGAGTGGTGGTCTGGCAATGGAACAAGTATTGCTACTAATGTAGGGGAAGAACCTGGAGTCACTCAGGTGGGGACACTATATGGAATGGGCTGAGACCCAGGGGATCTTCTTTAAATCTATTGTTCAGGATTTTCTGACTTATGTGTGAATTTGAGGCCACCTGCTATGCCCTTTCCATGCCTTGCTTCAGCCCTGAGGAGAAAATGTGGTTCATGCTTTGGTCCTCATAAATAGTGGGTTAATGAGCATAAATTCTCCCCTTCTGCTGTTTTCACACAGGAAAGGAACACACTGCCTATTCATTTATTTATGCAGTAAGTAACCTGTGATGAAGAGGGCACAACAACCAGCTTTTTCCTTGGATGACAATCACACTTCAATGGAGCAGCATATTGTCACTGGATAAGAATCACTTGCTCATACTGGAGAGGCAGCACTGGCTAGTATCAAGAAAGCCAAGAACTCCTGGGTTCTTGTCCCAGCTCCACCAGTGACTCTCTTAAACCTCTCTGTGCTTCAGTGTCCTCGTGTGCGACATGGGGACAATAATTAGCTACTTCACAGGTGTGTTGTGAGGAGTGTCATGTTTGTCAAGGGCTAAGTATTGTTACTGGTATATAGATCCCAAAAAGGCAGAGTAGATGTCATTTTGGATGTGTTATTCAAGATACAGATAATTTATCCCTGTCATCATCTGCTAATTGGGTAAGAGGTGTTGAAAACATATGCATACCACACCCATGTGGTTTCATGACACACTGTGGTCTATAACATGCTACAGAGTATGTTTTGAGCTAGGGAAGCTATAGCTATTTAAAGAGATCATGCAAAATAATCGAAGAAATCAATGGGCCAATACCTGCAACACAGCCACAATAAAATGTCACCCTTAAATGAGGTTCATTTTAAGAACAGCTTGAAACTAGTACTTTCCCCGAAAGGATGATCACAAAATGATGGTGTTGCTTAATGATGCTCCTATTGTGGCTGTGTTTCGACTTATTTCTGCTTTGGGGATTCCTTCAAAAGAGGAGGACTCAACTTTCCCTTAGGTAAATGGCATTCTTAGGTCTTTTTGGCACTACGTTTAAAACCATGCTAGCCACAATCGCATTAAAACACAATCCTAGCATGGTTTCCCTAAACAGTGTGGGTTCTCTTGCCATCCTCCTGCCTTACTGCTCCCTTTTAATTCAAATTGTATGAGTAGATACAATTTTTACAGCTCTATATGCAAGCACCATGTGAAAGAAAAGTTAATTTCCCCTCTTCTCAGTGCAAGGAATCACCTTTGGATCAGATTACATCAGAGGTTCTCAGACTGGGGGTCAGGACCCCTCAGGGGGTCGTGAGGTTATTACATGGGGGGGTCGCGAGCTGTCAGCCTCCACCCCAAACCCCGCTTTGCCTCCAGCATTTATAATGGTGTTAAATATATAAAAAAAGTGTTTTTAATTTATAAGGGGGGTCGCACTCAGAGGCTTGCTATGTGAAAGGGGTCACCAGTAAAAAAGTTTGAGAGCCATTGGATTACATAATGTGAGTTGCATGACATGATGTATTGTTCCCCATCAAGACATGAAAAGCTGTTTGTTTTTCCACACACAAAGTTTACTCATTTTCAGTAAATCAGAATAGAAACTGCTCTGTTTCACAATACAGATTAAAGTAGAAGGGAAAGACAAGACAATCTGTTACCTTGCACCATTGAGTTAAGATAAGGGCTCTGGCACTAAAATAGTTAGCAGTGCTAAATTCACTGCCAAGAGCCTTTTCTTTTATTACAAAAGGAAAAGAATCACCACCATAGAATAACTGGCATGGAGGGAGATATGAAACTGCAGAAAATCCAAAATATAAATAGTATATTTAGAGGGTCAAAGATCAAAATATGGTTTAGGTGATATCAGCTATGCTACGTGACTTTGGTATCAGTTTGGCCATAAATATAGGGATACAATAAGACAGATGGACAGAAATTGCTTCAGCATCTGATTCTTTTAATGCCATGGGATGAATAATGACCATAGCAGAAATCAGCTGATTTGATAATACCCAAGCACTTGCTAAACCCAAGAGATGCAGAGGGAGTCAAGCTGCAAACTTAAAACAAAACTTCCACAGTTTGGGAATGTCAGGAGCTGGGGTTTTGGTTTGGGCCATGATAAAGATAGTGACCAGCCATGCAATTCACACACAGCTTTGGACCCAGATCCAAACTTCTCCAAATTTGGAGATGTTCACGGCGGGGGTTTTGGTTTGGAACCGTCTCTACTAAGAGGGTCTAAGAAACTGGAAGCCCATACATATTAGTATTTTAAAGAGGGATTAATAATGATTGAAATGTTAGTTTTGTCACAGACATGACTTGCAGGACAATAACTGCCTTTTAGGTTTTTCTTGTAAAAATGATCTTTATTACCCTGAATTACCTACTAGTGAGCAAGACTTCTCCATGAATTTTTAAGCATTTGACTCTATATAAAGTCCAGGGGACTGGAGTGTGGGTTTTAAGATGCATTGCAACTATTAGTTAAATATTTTATTGTAAAATTAAGGATATTTAATAGATTGTTCTCAGTTTCCCTAAATAAACAACTTTAAAATATTGTATCCCATTATTTTCTTCTTTTTTGCTAAATACTAAAACAACAACTTCTATCTTTTTTGCCATGACATCCTATATTTTTGCCATAACAACCATTGGCTTTAATGATGATTTACAATGCTGCAAGTCTGCAAACTTGTTCAAAATAGTGTCGGCACAGGAGAATAAGGAAGCTAGGCACCCAACTCCCATTGAATTTCAATAGGAGACGAGCACCTAGCTCCATTAAGGTCTTCTGAAAATCCCAGCTACAAATACTAAAAGGAGAGCTGGCAAGTCTAGTATCAGAAGTATCTGCTGTGGTTTTGTTCACGTGTTCCTCCTTGTTTTGCTTGTCTATTCAATTCCTCTGAGGAAGTATGGTACTGAAATGCACAAGAATCTTGCTTTCTGCTGCTCTCCAGATGTCCCCAGCTGACTCTATCTTCTAAGACACTGTAGTTGCTAAACCCAGCCTTAGTTATTGTGAAACACTGGGCCCAAGATTAATACATGACAGTATTTTAAGATGCATTTTGAACCCTCATGCTTAGTATATAGGAAAATTGTTACACATCACGTAAGAAAAAGAAAACCAAGAACCTTTGTCAGAGCAAGACATGTCAGTGCCCACATCCTGAAGGAGCTGCTCCACTGCTTCTACCCATGAGAGTAAACTGCTTAGAATTTCAACTACTGGTGTGTGGATCCACAAGACAGAGGGATCAATGCACAGATCTTGAAGGTTACAAATCTCTCTTTTCAAGCTACTGCTGCAATAGGAGGTCTTTAAGAAAGCCTGAAAGAGAATTAATAACAAACAATCCAAACCTCATGATTTGTGTCTTAACACAACAGTTAATACAATAAACCCTTTACAACAAAATACATTGTATTATCACTACAACAATCATGCTCTGTTTTAAAGATGCCTATTTATTTATTGCAACAACTTTCAGGAAAGTGGTTTCTGTAGGATGTAATGCAACTTTGTTCACTCCATCAGATACTGCATGTGTACTGTGATGCATAGCAATGCATCCTGCAATGGCCATTTCCATTGTCTTCTGAACTCAACTGGGTTTCGATCCACATTTCAGACAACTTTTGATACTTCTGTGATGGGGAATAGTTAGTGCTCCACAGTAAAACATATTTGTATCTTGTACTATTACCCCTAGTAATTTTTTCAGCCACAAACCTGTTTTCAGGTAGACTATCTTTACACACACACACACACACACACACACACACACACACACACACACACACTATTTAAAATGTAAAGTCAATCAAGCACACATTCAGCAATAGGATCGGAAATCACTATAGTTATTTCAAGACAATTTGAAAAAGCAAAATTATGTGGTTTTCCACTCCCATACACTAGAAAAATTATCCAGGCCAAATCAAGAATATACTATATCCTCAGGAGTCTTGCATCTAGCACTGAAAGTCACTGGGAGCTGGGTGCCCAACTTCCTTGAGCTCCTTTGAAAATCCCAGCCTACAACTTGTATCTGTCATCTTTGCTCCAGTTTCAATAAATACATTTTGCTGAGCAGTCTGCATGGCCAAAAAATGGGGCTTTCACATTAACAGTAAAGTTTGTTCAGATCAAATGGACAATGGATCATATTCTTCACACCCCAGTGATGCACTGAAGAGCCTAACTTGGAAGATTAAAAATAATAAAATAAAGAACTGCATCTTTTTTTAGAGTTCCACATAACTTTTGTATTCAAATGGCCAACCAGAGGTCTAACTTGCATATGTACATGCAATTACCATGATTTTGTTGGGTGCAGTTCTAAACATCTGGGGCTCCCAGCAGCTTGGCAGCCTGCCTGGCAGACAGGAAGCCCAGGGAACCCCAGCTCCTTGGCAGCCCACCGGGTGACATGAGGAGGAGCCAGGAAGTCCTGGGAGTTCAAACTCTGCAGCAGCTCACCACGCAGGCTACCAAGGAGGCTAGGAGCCTGGGGAGTCCCAGCACGCAAGCTCCCCATCAGGCAAACTGCTGAGGAACAGGGGAGATGGGCAGGTAGGCAAACTTTCGACTAATCGGCATTTTGTGATGGGAAAATGTTTCATCCAAATATTTCTGTCCAGCCGTAACAACAACAAAGCATTGCCTCTGATTTGTAGAGCAGGAACACATCTCTTGAGTACCATCTGCAGTAGATCTTTTCTCTGGTTAAACATCTAAATTAAGTCTGTGTTTAGGACAATCGTGTGCAATCATAGAATCATAGACTACCAGGGTTGGAAGGGACCTCAGGGAGGTCATCTAGTCCAACCCCCTGCTCAAAGCAGGACCAATCCCCAGACAGATTTTTGCCCCAGATCCCTAAATGGCCCCCTCAAGGATTGAACTCACAACGCTGGGTTTAGCAGGCCAATGCTCAAACCACTGAGCTATCCCTCCCCCCATATATCTGAATTATCTTCTAATTCACTTTCAGTATATAAAAAGCACTTAAACAAGTGACCTGGAATTCATCCAATGATTTCTTCAACACCTCAACACTTTCAGATACTTCCTTCTCTTCAGAGTCCTTGGAAATGATTTCCTCCTGTAATAACTTCTCCTCTTCACGAATCTGCAGATTTTCATCAGTGATCTGTCTTATCTTTTCCATTAACTGACAAAAGGGTATGAAGGCAGAAGAAGAAATAAATGCACACAAAAATGGAAGACATTCCCATTTTCACTTGAAAAGAATGGCTTAGTAAATGTAAGCTTACATTTTTCACAACAATTCTTATTTCAGTGTAAAATAATTGACTAAAATAGTTTAGTGCTTTACTAATCACTAAGGCCCAGATCCTCAAAGGTATTAGGTGCCTAACTCCCACTGACTTCTGGCAAAATACCTTGGAGTATCCTAAATAACTTTAAGGATCTAGGCCCAAGAAATTAATTTTTATGAGTTGGCTTAAGGAATATCCCACCATCAAGGGGCCAATTTTCAAAAACAGCTTCTCAATGCACATGCACATTTTGTGCTCTGAAATAATTTTCACGCGCATATGAAAGAATGTGTGTGCGAGCACACGCACACACACTCAGGATTGCTGCATGCAAACTGAGTAGTTTTAAAGTAGTTATCTGCCAAATCTGTATGCTGCTCAGTATTGACTTCAATGGATGCTTCAGTTTAAATATGTGCTTAAGTGCTTTGCTGAATCAGGGCCAGAGAACTCAGCACCGTGCAGGAGCAAGATGTCTCTAATGTGCAACCCAATTTGTCTCCATTTTGTAGAACTTCCATGCAGTAAGTGTCAGCGGCAGATCCTGCTGACTGAAATGAAAGAGAAAATGAGCCTTTCCCCAGGTCATGGGCAAACTTTCAGAGTCTTGGAAATCTAGGATTCAAACTATAATTTGGTGTAAAATTTTACCCATCCTGACTATCCTGAAGTGTCTTTTCCTATTAAAGCATACTTGCTCAGCCCCTGATTTGGAGGGGGAAATGATCACATTTCTTCTTAAATACAACAATGTTAGATATTGTTGGTTTTTCAAGTGAAACCAGTAAATCATTATATCTTAAACTACGCCTTACTCAAGTATTTAACTTAGATGGTTTCCTGAACCTAGATGAAGAAAGTGATAGAGAGGCAGAAAGCCAACTCCTGGAGCAGTAAAACATTTGAATTTACCAATTTTTTTAAAAGATGAGCTCCCTCCTTTTTTAATTGGTATTCCAGTGAAATAAGACTCAGATATAGCACCAGATCCATTTACCAGGACTGTACAATTTATCCATGTAGTATTCAACTCATCTCTCTCCCCACCTCCCTGCTCCAAAATTCTCCACTAAGGTACCTTAGCTCTGTACTCATGAGCATCTTTTGGACCAACGTCATATGTCACCTTGTATAAGGTGTCTGCAGCACCTTGTCTGCATGGAAAAAATTCCAGCAGTCTGGGACGGGTACAGAGACATTACAAAATTACCTTTGTTTTTCAATTGGTAAAATGAGTCTGTATCATTGGGAATGGGGGCCAACAAGATACATGTGTGTAAACAAACACAATCAAAAAGATCTGCTCCCTCAGTATCAGAAGCCCACAAAATGTAAAAGCACCAAGAAGTTGTGTTTGCTGTCACCTGAACTAACCTGTTGATCTGTTACAGTCTCTGGAATTTCTGATTCTTGTGAATAGAAGATTTCAATCATTTGCCTTTTGAAACACTCCAGCTAAAGCAGAGGTTGATAAATAAACAAAATCACTAACAGCTAGAGTCAACAGAAACTCCATTTGGCTAGTCTGTGTTAGTCCTGAAAAGTCAATTAGGAGGGCACACCAGTTTAATAATTATGTTGTTCTATGAAAATTTTCAGTAATTACAGAGGGCAGGAATAGAAATTTTGAATTAATTTTGAGGGTATTCATTGATCATTAACCTTGGAGCCCAGTGACCACGCTTGCCCTTGCCTTAGGCTATAAATTCATCTCACAATCAATTTTCTATCAGAATAGTCCTCAACAAACACTACTACTAAACTCTAAGTTTACACCACATTGATAGCATAGCCCTGTAGTTAATAACATTATTCATGTTGTCTACTGAGTTAAAGGGTATAATCAACAGTGAGACACCAGGGGGATTGTTAAATCATTGTCAGTGAATTAAAAGTGATTCTTGAAAAAGGAATGCCATCTTTTGTAAGTACTATATGTTGGAAGGAACGTGAAGAAAGGGTGCATAAAAATAGAAACATAAATACATTTAAAAAACCAGAATGAGGATCCCTATCCTAATTCCTAGGCAAAGACAGCAAACAAAATACAAAACAGAAGAAGAAAGAATTTAACTACATAAGTAGTAAACACACAAACAAAAGGATCCACTGAGGAACTACACTGGAAAGCTGATGTCCAAATCTGTTCCCATTAGAGTCAATACAAGTTTTGACATTAATTTTACTGTGAGCAGGATTGGGCCCACAGTAACAGATGTGGTAAAGGTCAAGTGCTAGATGGGGCTCTTGGTAGCCTCTTGTTAACATTCCTGCCCCAATCTGAAGGGAAGATTGAACTGAGTTCTCTGCCTCTGATTGAGTCACCTCTCTGGATACTACTAAAGCACCTCTGTCAGAGATGATTTATCCGTGAAACTCATAAAAATGTTTCTGGAGAGCAGAGGCACCAGATTGCATCACACGTCAGATATTTAAACAATTTCCCAAAGATCCCTCTACAAGGTCTTAACTCCCGGCCCTGCTAGCATTTCAAATTACACAAACCAGACAGATTGCTAGACTAGAACAGGTTGTTAGGCTGTATGGTCTGGGTGCGATTTTCTAAAGTAAAATTCCCATTGCCTGCACTGAAGGCTGTTGAAAATGCCACCCACTGTGTATTTTTCAGAAACAAATTGTAAACATTTCCAGTGAAGTGAGCTTAACATAACTTTGTTTGCTAGATGGTATTTGTCTCTTCCCTTGGCTGTGACAAAACATTACCCAGTCTCTCATCTAACGCATCTACAAACACACGCACCCCTGGGACAAGGAGTTTGTAATCTGTGACAATTGTGTGGGTTCCTGTTAGACACTGGCAGGACTTCCCAGTGAAGTAGCTGTTACTAGGGGCCTGATATTTACCCTTTGCTCCACTAGTCACAAAAGTAATGGATAATTAGCATACACCTGTTCAAAAAGTTAATGCTATAGCAGAGTTTCTCTGACCAAGGTGAACAGGATTTCTTTGCCGAGAACCTTGCTAACAACACTGGGCTATAGGCCACTGAGGAAGATGGGAGTGAGATGATTGAATAGTTTTATAACACTGTTCTAATAGGATTGTCAGACCAAAAATATATCTTTGTCCATATCAGACAGGAAACTTTGCTGAATCCTGCTAGCAACAATCTTGTTTAAAGATGGTGGTAGCTGGCTCCGTTCTGTAAGGAGAGGGCCCTAAACTAGTAAATTAAACATTTAAAGGATTTGTAATTGCACCAGAGTAGATACTTAAACAAAAGTATTTTACAAAGGGGCTTGTTTTTCCTTGAAGTGAGTCAGGCAGCAGTTGTGGATGATTTATATAGAGACTGGGTGATGGAGAGGACAACAGAAAAAAGAAGGAGCATAAAATGCCTATGCATCATAAAACACTAGCCATCTGTCAATGAGATATGGAAACACACCCTGTAGCCATGATACACACAATTTGGAATTATCAATGTAGCAACCACAGAGTTCTGTGCTCCAGATTTATACTTCCTCTGTGGCACTCTGGCTTTCAATAGCTTTTATGGCTGTTACAAATCATTTTTTCCTACAGAAACGCTCCTATTGTTAGCTATAATGCAGAGTACAGAGTAATTTTCTTTTCAGTAACCCCTACCTGAGCTTTTGCCTGTTCCAAGTCAGCTTTAATGAGGCCTTCTCTGCGCCCCATCTCTTGTAACTGCAGACATTTCCTTTCACATTCTTGTTTCAGTTCCTCTTGAGCCTGAAACAATGAAAGCACTTGAATATCAAAGTGCTACCATATAATAATGCCACAAGCAGATCTATCACTATTTCCTACAGAAATCTTATTAAAAACAGTAGAGTCCACATATAACTTTGGGTCATGCAATGTCACTTTTCTTTTAATTTGCAGTGCTGGTACTTAAGCTGTTTAACATCCTAGCTATAGGTCATCGTAGCTCATCAGTCATATAATTCTAGCCACGCTGCCCATGGTTTTAAATTAAGTCACTGGTACTGGAGCTTTTTGGGTCTCCTCTTGCACAAGATAAAAGAGTTACTCAATGTGGTCCATTCTACAGCCAATCTATAAAGAAAGGATTCCAGTAGGCTCCCTGATTTATGAGTAACACATAGACAACTCCTTTGATTCTCGACAGTACCAGTATACCTGATAAATCTAAAAAGGACATATCTAATTCTCCATGCATGTGTAATGTACCAGCTAGGGTGTGTGTGTGCGCATGTCTTTCCTCTACTGAATGTAATCAGATCTATTCATTTAGCTGCTAGTTTGTGATTATCATACCCTCTAGTGGCTGGCCAGCAAATATGTTCAGTGTTCTAATACTATGGCCAATTAACAGAAAATGTCATTCTTTAGGTCAGGTGGTAGATATCTGTTTTCTTGGTGCTAAGGGCTGTGCATGTGGTTTAAGCTGATGATCTTGGAACAAAGTACAGTTATAATTAACATCCACTGAATTGAAGGTAACAAAGTTGGAAACCACTGCTAGACACAAGAATTCTATCCCATTCATGGAAAGTAAGAATTCTTTATTGCAGAGCAAGCAGTGAGATCAAAGAAATAAAAATCTAGGCAATAGTCCTATAAACACATTAATGGGCCTTTCAAGGGGGTAGAATTATACTCAGCAACATCAGAATGGGTCTCTGCTTATCTGACTCCACAAGTTGCCGCCTCAGTTGCACAACAATGCTTTGGAAAAGGAAAGCGTTATCAACAGAGTTGTAGAAGAAAGAAAACTGAGATGATATTGGGGGACTATACCAACACACCACCCAAGAAACAGCAAGGAAGTGTAAAGGAGAGAAGAGTAAATTTAGAATCCTTTGTAATGGAGAATATCACATAGCAGAAATATCATAAAAACATTTTATCTTAATTTTATTTTCATTCTAAAAATAAAAAATAAAATGAAATAGCTATTTCAAGAGAAAAAACAGCTGCAAGCGGAGTACCTGAACATGTGCTGCAGAGGCTAGCCCAAATCCTGAGCTGGCCTCTGCTGACACATTAGGAACAAAAGCAGGAAAAATGCTGCAGCAAGGTTGGGCAAAGCAGCAAAGAATTTCCTTGGGGGGCATCCACCGTTGTATGTGTGCTGGGATGAGTCCTAATCAGTGGGTCTCCACAAAGGAATGTGAAAGGGGGAAAATGGGCATGTCACTCACAAATAAACAAGAAGCTGCATAGCCCAAAGTCAGAACAGGAACTGTGCTATGGTACTTACCTCCACAGTGGAGTCAGGGAATCCATTCCCAATCTCAAGACTGTATTAGCCTAGAGTTTCACACTTCCCTTTTATTCAAAATTATAATTTCCTTTTCAGGATTGTACCTCATGAGAGAGAAGCTAGCAGGCAGAATGGAAATTTACCTTTGTTTTTTCTGCAAGCCTATTTGTTATGATTTCCTGTTCGGCGCAGTTCTTCTGCATTTCTCCCTGCAGCCTCTTCACTTGCAGCTCCAGCTCCCCAATGCGCTGTAAAAGTCCCAATAAAATGGAATCAACCACACAAAATAGTAAGTCACCCAATTTAATGAGATTATATTTCAATAAACCACCTAGTTTCATTACATTAACTTCAAGACCTTTTTTGTTTTATTAAACAATCTGAGTAATTCAGTTATTGCATATCCTAAACCTTTAACTAATAAGAAATACATTTGTCCTATCTATCATTTTAAAGATACTGGATTTACAGAGCTGGGTGAAACTAATCATTAGCTTATAATGTTTCATTTACAGTACAAAACAGACAGGTTTATGTTTTCATTTACCTCTGATGCTTTGCTCTAAACTCCAAATAAATGAAAAAAAAATACATTTACTAATCAATATAGTGATTGCCAATTGCAGTTTAAATCTTATTTCAAACAGAATTCCACTTCATAGAAAACTGCTATTAAAATATTTCCAGGAGTCAACATTTCTCCAATCTGTTATGCAGTTGCATGACAAGAACCGGATTATAAATACAATTCTTAACATGTCTAGTTACTTATTCTCTCAGGGACGCGGAGTTTCAATTTGCTGCTTGCCTATATGCTAAAACAACCCAGGCAACTAAAAACTAAGAAAACTAACTCACATTTTGGTATGTAATTACTTCTCTCTCTCTGAATTCATGCTTCATTTCCTCTTTAATTCTAGAACACTGGAATGAACAGCAACCAAGGAAAAAATCATCAAGCAAGGAAGAAATGATCATTTTTATATTATGCTGAGCACACACCCAAATAGTATGGCACCACAGTAAAGGCCCAATACCACAAGTTGCTGAGTGTCCTCAACTCACAATAAAGGAAATGAGAGAAGGGGCGCTCAGCATCTTTCAGGATTGGACTTTTAGAAAAGCATTCCCTGCTTTAGAAAAGAAAAACAGAAAGACAATTAAGAGTTAACAAAGCTACGTAAGACAAACCCCTCGTGCTTTAGAAAAAGAGTGCTATTGAAAATGCAGAGGTAAGGAAGAAAGGAATAGAAGAATTTTTTTAAACATACAAGATGATCGGAACTAGTATTAAACAGAAATTTTAAAACAAATACATGAAACAACACGTGTATGTTCTGAGATAGTATTCTGAGCCTAGAGAAACTGGTTATATTTATAGGACCAAATATTATCAGAAGTTCAGATAATGAGCCAGATTCTGACTGATGTGTATACAGACACACATCAGAAAGCCCCTGGACATAGGGTAGTGCAGTGTGAAAGTTGTATGCCCCGACTCTGGCTCTTTCCAGAACTCTAAAGAGGCTTCTCTGAAAGCCCCCCCAACAAGGGAAATGATGGAGGGAAGTTCTGGGATGGGGCTATATGTAAGGACTCTATGTTTCCTGCATATAAGCATATGCCTCCTGGCCTGGTAAAAGAAATTACACAGTCTCCCGCACCCTCACTAGAGCTGGGTGAATACTTGATTTTTCAGTTCGACAGACAAACCAAAAAATCCAAAACAATGTTTGTTTCAGGTCAACATGAAATGACAATTGTTTGTTTTTTCTTGTTGAAATGAAAAACAAAAAAAATTCATTTTGGGTAAAGCAAAACATTTTGCTTAGTTTTCAAGTGCTTTTAACTCTTTTGTTTTAGTGAAATTGAGCTACATTTTGAAACAAAGTTGTTTTGAAACAAAAAGTCTTTGACTTTTTCAGAATCCCCCCCCCTTTTTTTTTTCTTTCAAAACCATTAGCTGAATTTGACCCAATTTGGTGAACAGTTTTGACTCACCCAAAATTGCATTTTTCAATAAATAAACAAACTGTTTGCCAAAAAAAAAAATTCACCCTGCTCTATCCACATTGCTATCAGGATTAACATGGGTGGTGGTAAAGTGCTATACATCACAACACAGGCTGCTTTTAGTGCACCATTTTGCAACGATTTGTGTTCCACAATCCCTAGAGCTCTATCCTGCAGCCCCTTCGTCTCATCACTAATCTCACTGGTTTGAAAAGAACACCTCACACAACATGGCCTGCAGGGTCAGCCCTATAGTGCCATCACCTTGAAGGAAGTGTTGAATTTGTGCAGTGGAGTTTGTATGAGATGAAAGATCCCTGTCTTCTGTAGTGCTACACAGAATCATAGCGAGCTGATCCTGAGAGGAGCCGAGTGATTCCTGTAAACTGCTAAGCCCATCAACTCCTGTGTTCGGTGATGGAACTGTATCCACATTGAGTCACACAGGGAACTTAGGAGCTAGCTATTTTTAAGAACTTCAGATGTTCTCACAATGAACCCTTGAGTCATATGCCTCCAACCATCAGCTACTTTGTGCCTTGTAAGTTAAAATTGAATAAACTGATCCAAAAATCTAACTCAGAAGGAAAGGAGAGGAAATACATTTCTTCATTTACAGGCAAGAAAACTGCGTTACTTTTAGTGAATTGGTATTTTGCTGTTACAGCTGTCTGCTCCTTAGGAATTCTACAAGTATGCCACTGTGGTAAAACCCCACCATTCAAACTCTCAACAGTACACTCTCATGCACCACTGATTGCTCCTTCTCATCTAGAAATATGCATATTGCACAACTCATCCCTGCTGTGTTTCAGCCAATTCAGTGTGAAGTTAAGGGGGAAAGATCTGAAATGAAGGGGATGTGGACGGACGAGTGGGGATTTGGTGAACATTTCTTGGGTCACAAAAATCCAGTATGCCTGGTTTTTGAGGTCTCCTCTCACTGCTTGGGAACTACAAAGTAATAGTGTGGTTTTAGGTTACAATATTCTGTAATGCAGCCTGACCAAAATCAAGCATCTGCTCTAAATTTGATTTGATTGTGCTGTTTTGCAAGAAGTATAACCACAGCTTGAGAGTAGCATCTTTGTAAATGTACAGGACATGTTTAGGAAAAGCCACACAGCAGCTTTCTTAAAGAACAGAATTGAAGACAATCAGAAGTGGGCTTGGCTGTGGGACAGAGCAATGATTGGATCTCAGAAGTAGAAAACCCCTGTTTGAAAATAACCTGATGCAAGTGTTTTGGACAAGCAAACAGAGGAGATGATTCATAGAAATGGCACCACACCCCACAGAGGGAGAAGGTCTAGGAAAATTCACAGCTGGAAACCGGGAACTCTGAAAAAGAAGGATCCATAAAAACACCTTGCAACTTGCTGGTTTTACAAATGAACCTAGCTAGGTACATACCTGGCCCTCATCACTGTAATACCTGAGCCATGTGGCTCAGCTTTCCATTGACTTCTATCTGAGTTGGATCAAATCGGAAGCACCAAACAAACAACAAAAACAAAAACCACTCAGTAAGGGAGAACAGGTGATGAGCTCCGTTTATAGGGGCTCAAACATAGGATCCCAGAGTTGGATGAGGATCAAATTCAGGCCCTCTGAGAGAGGGAGAATTTCTCCTGCTGGAGGATACCTATACAGTAGCCCTTTGAGGAAGTATCAGACACCAGATGATGATGATGAAGAAGCAGCTCTGTGATGAAAAGTTGAAACAGCAGCCAGATGAACTCTCGGAGAAGGGTCAGATTAAACAACCATCACCACCAAAAGGTAGTAGTACTCTCCCAAAGTCCACCTAAATCCCAAGCTCTGTTCACATCCCAGAATTCTCCAATTCCACCACCAAAAGGAGGCACCACATTTTGACCAAGTGGTTTGATTTTGCTTTCCTCGTGGTCGGCACACAAGCGTGCTCACATGCACAAATAAATCTACTCCCTCCTGCTTGGGCTTTTCTTCCCGCCCCATGGCTTCCTGATAGGGTGTCCAGCCTGGCAGGGAATATGCTATCCTTCTTAGGCGGCTGGAGGAACCACAGAGCTCTTCTCTCAGGCTGAACTAGGAAGATCGCTGGTGAGGTTGCTGAGCAGTTGATTTGCTCTTCAGGGAACAGAGCATGCAGGATGGCTCTCTTGCAATCTTGTACCAGGAAGATCAGTGGCTGCTCCCACTGGATTTGGAGACAGGCAGCAATAGCATTAAGTGGGAGGCCAGCAACATTTTGAATTTGGCACCATTGTCTCTGGTGAACGGATAGTTGTGTTGTCCTTACTCTAATATGGCCACAACCTAACAGCAGAGCAGTCAGAATAGCACAGCAAACAGCGTGAGCAAACCTGTTGGACACACGCTTATACACTGGGTTTTGGGGAGCCTTCTTTTAGACATGCTTTCTTTGAAAGGCTCTTGGAGAGGTTCACGGAACTGGAAGAGAATGACAATGCTGACTATGAAAAGGATTTTCACTTGTTTGAAATAAAGCACTGTTGCTAAAATTGGAAGGAGGAGGATAAAAAAAAAGACATATAGGCTAGTGCCTGAGTTTTTCACCTGCCTTGCAGTAAGGGAGAGTACTTTTAACAGGAACTCAGTGCTATTCAGTGGAATTCGCCATGCAGGGCAAGTGGGATTTCAATGTGCCAGAGCCACACAAAAATCCTGAATCACATCCACATGAACAGCAGAATGAAATTTGAGACGGATACAGAAACTGCAGAGGTAAAATTGGAGTGTGGCATAAAAGGATGAGACACTGGTATGTCAACACTGAAATCAGGTGGTGTGATTGAGACTATGTAGACATACTTGAGCTAGCTTTAATCTAGCTAAATCAAAGGTAGCTCAAGTAACAATAGGAGTGAAGCCATAACAAAATGGGTTGCGACCACCCAAGTATGTGCCTAGGGTCCTGGGAGGGCAGGACATACCCCATTTCCCTGACTCTTAGTTCTTGCCTAGTACGAAACTACAGTACAAATACAGAAACTATAGATATTGGCCCAAATTTGGCTCTGGTATAACTCTGGTGAAATCAGTGGAGTTGTTGAATTGGGTCCATTTTGTTGTTTATTTACTAAACCATTTGTAGTGTAGTAAATAACAGTGCGCATAAGCATGGGTGTCAACCTTGGCAGAAATGACTGCAAGCTGATTATCCTTCTCCCTGTTTTCCTTCTTTAGTTTATCTGCATTCAGTTTTAGTTGCAGTATTCTCTGCTCCTTTGCTGAAACGTCTCTTTGCAAACTGGTCACCAGTCCTGTGAAGAACAGAATTTAGGTCAAAGAAAACAAAGGCATTTCAGTTACGAAAACCTGCTAAACAATAACCTCATCATATAAACAGCGAAGAAAAAATATTTATCATATATTAACAATATCTGGCTTTGAAAGCAGATCCAAATTTAGTCCATACACTCTGGGAGTTATTTAGTGACCATTAGTCCCAAGGAATTCAGTGCTTTGGAGAATACGCTCCTTTGGGCAAGAACAATTCTCTAACAGCTCAGTTTTTCTTGAAAAAACTATGTTTAGGTCTGAAACTTTGATAATTGTCTGTGGACTGGTGTAAGCAAATATAACAGTCTGTTTGCTTTTGGAAAACTGAGATGGAGTGAAATGATTTCGCTAACGGGACTGTATTGTTAGCTACTGGTTAAATAAAAACACTGAGTATTTTGTGTAAATATTAAAGTCGTTTTGACTATTAAATCATTATATAAAGGAAGGCTGGAACTTGGAAAATGGTTTGCACTCTGAGACAAAGCCCTTGAAAGATGTTCAGAGCACTGGACACAGGAGGCCAGATCCTCAGTAGGTGTAAATCAGCACCGTGTCCCTGAAGTTAGTGGAGCTATACTGATTACACAGCCGAGGGGCTGACCTACAGTGACTAACAGTTCCTTATATTCCAGGGGTTTTTTTTCCTTTCCTTTTTTTTTTTTTTTTTAAATAAACCATCTGTCCCACAACTCACCCAGGTTTAGTTCCCAAAGTTTCTTATTTCTACTCTACTAGTTCTTCTGTCAGAAGATAGCTGTAAGCCTCAAAGAGGTTAAAATGAAATAGAAAAAAGAGACGAACAATTTTAGAAGGTCCTCAAAGCCACTAAAAATAATTTCTGGCCGGAAAAGTTGTCAAGTATACATTTTCATTGCTAAACTATATTAACTGTGATCCTAGCCCTAAAAACTGCATGTTAAAGTACACTACCTGAGATGCCAGAGGAAATATACCTGTAGTTAGAGCTTGATTCCTCCTTAACTTCTCACCCTCTTTTTTCAAGTTTGCAATTTCTAAGTCTCTTTCAGAGAGGGAATGGCACAAGACTTGGCTCGAATCTCTCTGCAGATTGCTGATCTACAAAAGATATGCAAAGAAAATAAATGATTGGTCACCTTAAATAGGGAATGGGTGAACCAGCAGAGGTCAAACAAACTCTATCTTTGTTCTACATTTGAACCAAACTTGTTTTGAGATTTGAAATAGGTTAAATGGCTTTTTGTTTAAATTAATCAAATACACTCATGTCTATACTTCCCAATTCAGTCGTGATCAAAAGCTGCTATGAGAAAAGTGTTCTTGCTACATTTCCAACTCCATGGATATGCCAGATATTTAGACAGTCTGTCCAATAGCAAGTTAAGGAGGGCCTTTACAGCTCTCCGTTTTCAATCTATGCAGATGGCTAACTTAAAAGTCTGATATACGGCACTGAGAAATGTAATCACCTTTGTCCATGGGGCTTTGGGTAGATGGAAGACCTACCCCATTACTTATGATTTTGTAATTTGTACTGCCACTTGAGGTCAAAATGGCTTTCTGTGTTTTTGTCCCAGATGCCTGTTTCTAGAAAACAGAATATTTGTTAGGAACTGACAGTGTATCTGTGATTCAAGCAGTTGCCCTATTTGCATGGTCAGCCATTAGAATAAGGAAAAGGCAAGTGGAATGGTGATTATATATGGTTTAATTGGTTTTTGTTCTTTTTAATTTGTTTGTACATACATTTTAAATATAATTCTGGATATATATTGTAATACATTTTATTTTTTGTGCATTGAACAATGGCTAAGTTGCTATTAATAAACTTGACTTGATATTTCCAACTGGGAACAATGCATGAAAACCTTCATTTGTGAACTTGTTTTCCAAGATCTCCATCCCAATTCTGCAGACCTGAGTGGTTTGAATAGTTTAGACAAATATTCAAACCTGAGAGTTTATCCAAACTGAACAGGGTTCAGCCATGCTTAGTCTAAGCACAAACAAAAGTCAAATAGTCTCTCTGCTACTGAAATATTCCAGCAGTCAAACATTCAGAAAAACAAACAAACCACAGATCCTTCTCAGCTAACTCACATGAACAGCCCCATGGATGCTTGCACGAGTAAGTCAAAAGGATTTATATATCATGAGCCAACTTATAGCAACAGGAGGAGCAAGCCTAGTATTTCAAGGTCATTGGTTTGTGTGTTTTTTTTCTAGAGTCTTCAGCTAATTGTCAAGAACAAATATTTCAGATGATAACTTACTGAAAGCACTCGAAGGCATTTGCATTTTCTAATGCAAATAAAGATCAAACACATTACTTCCTGGCTGTCATGAGTGAAGATGAAACTTTGCAGTCTACTTTTTCATATCATGGCCAAAGAGATAATAAGAAGGGACAAAATATAAATTTCCCATTGTTAAAATAATTGGTTTCATGAGCCTAATTCAGAGGGGATAAGTAGTTTGAAGGAGTCCACGGCGGGAGTGTGCAGCTCTACCTGCAATATATCGTCTTCAACATAATACAAAACCAGAGCTGCTGACAACTCATGGAAAACAATCACCAACGCTTTGTATAGCAATAATTCTGTTTATGTATCAGATTTTTAGTATTGCTCCTTTCTTGCTCTTTATCACTGTGTGCATTCACATGACCGCAGAGCTTAAAAGGGACACTGTCAACTTGAAATATAGTCAACATAAAAATGTGTTAAAAGTAGTTTCAGATATTATACATGCCTTCCAGTCACCCTCCCAATTTATATAGCTTTTCAATCAGAGTTCCATATTTTAAAAATGTTTTCTCTCTCCTGTTGCTGTATGAAAGACACACACAAACAAATAGGGAAGCTGTCTATAAAGTGTCTATATACAAAGGGTTGTCAAAGAGGTGAACAAACTGAAAAAAACAACAACCCCTTTTTCTCCTCTAAGCTCTTTTGTTTCTAGCAACCATTGTTAGTTTAAAAAAAAAAATTCACAGAGGAGTCTGATTAAAGCTGACAGTGTCCCCTTAAGAGTTCAATACCTGCTCTTTCAAGGCTTTAATCTCTTCCGTCTTTGCTTCAATATCTCGCTCAAAGGTCAGTAGTTTTTGAGTAAACTCGACATCATTCCTAGCAGCCTGAGCCATTTTCTTTGTCATCACTGCAATTTCATCCTGAAGATTGGCTATCACTGTATCTTTATGTTTTGACTCACTTTCAAAACCCAAGAGATGACTGATTTCATCTTTCATTTTCAGAATTATTTCATCCTACATGCAGAATATATTTGAATATTATACACAAATGTGGATACAATATTGCGCCTGTTCCAAAAAAGGCTTTCAAATTATTTTATTTTATGATAAATTTTCTGTCTCCAAAATGCTACACTTGCTCATTCTAGTATTATTAAAATATAGTGGTAGTCCAACAACTTAAAAACAAAATTTCAGATACTCACATTTGCTACCTTACATTTCCTCACCCTGAAATTCACTAGCTCCAAGACATCTCATTCCTTTGTCCATATAGTAATTCTCACTCATGTGTGTAGTCCCATTCAAAATCAGTTACTCTACAGTGATGTGGGTGAAGGGAATTTTACTATTAGTCATTTAAAGACCTTATTTGTATAGCATTTCTGCTTTGTTTGCCTACCAATCACGCTATCTACTTTCAATATATTCCTGTTGATATAAACAATGTTTCTGTGATCTACCTCCATGTCACATTCATACATCACCTTTTCCTGAAGAAGTAAATCCATATGATGACTTCCTGATAATGGAACTCCACTTGCTCCAGATTGTCCATTTCCTGGTACATTTGTCAAGATTGAATATAAAAAATAAAAGGGGCTTCTAATGACTTGCACAGAAATTCAACACAAGAGCCTGTTCTGATTAGGATGAATGCATCTTTATCTCCCTAGTTTGTCTACAAGCATTTCCAAAGCAACCATCATTTTAGTACCTATGCGCTTTATCCAAGCAATTGCAGAATAATAATAAAATGTTATAATAAATGACATTCACAGGCATAAACAAACTATATAATCAGTGAAGTATAATATAGTTTCAAGATAAAAATCCTCAAGTGGAGGAGTAGATGTAATGTCTGAATGTTTTTCTGAATATGCAACATTGAATAACTATGCATATACTAGCTATAATGTTATGACATATGGCATATGAATAACCATGACTATATAACCTATAACATTATAAAATATAGAATATGGATCATTGTGACCCTGATTCAGAAAAGCATTTAAGCTTCAGTCCATCACTATTCAGGAAAGCACTTAAGCATACACTTAGCTCTGAGCAGGTGCTTATGTCCCATTAACTTCAATGAACTTAAAAATTCAGTTAAACACATGCTTAAGTGTTTTCCTCAATCACTGCTTTTCTGTTGTGCTGGCATGATTGTGCAGCAATGCTCTTTTGTCTGAAACATTTAGATACATTTCAATTTGATGATTTGCTGTTTGATCTTTTGTATTACTATATGTATAAAAACAAGAATAAGAAAAATAAATATTTGATATATGTCATGCTATGGTGTTAGGGACTACAGTAGAGTTAGGGACATTACCAAGTCCTATCATATGGCCCTAAAATTTGCTGGCATGCAAATTCTTATATAATATGCCAACTATGGTTAAAAATGTAGTTCAGCTTTTTCAGTTGTATTTGGGTTTAAACCTCTAGAACCTTTCCTTAGCCATGACATTGTCCTGTTCTTTACACTTAGAAAATATATGCAAGATATGGCTTTATTTTTAACTCACTCCCAATGAAAACAGCTGATAACCACAGATCAAAAGAGAAAACAAAGTTACTCCAACCAACAGATGTAACAGTTGAATGTATCACCAATGGAAAACACAGTAAGTAGTAACAGAGCAAGTTACACTTTCACAGAATTGTAGGACTGGAAGGGACCTCGAGAGCTCATCTACTCCAGAGTCCCCTGCTATCACGGCAGGACTAAGTATTATCTAGGCCATCCCTGACAGGTGTTTGTCTAACCTGCTCTTAAAAATCTCCAGTGATGGAGATCCCCCAACCTCCCTAGGCAATTTATTCCACTGCTTAACCATCCTGACAGTTAGGAAGTTTTTCCTAATGTCAAACCTAAACCTCCTTTGCTGCAATTTAAGCCCATTGCTTCTTGTCCTATCCTCAGACATTAAGAACAGCAATTCCCCCTCCTCCTTGCAACAACCTTTTATGTACTTGAAAACTGTTATCATGTTCCCTCTCAGTCTTCTCTTTTCCAGTCTAAAAAACCCAATTTTTTCAATTGTCCCTCATAGGTCATGTTTTCTAAACCTTTAATCATTTTTATTGCTCTTCTCTGGACTTTCTCCCATTTGTCCACATCTTTCCTGAAATGTGGCACCCAGAATTAGACACAATACTCCACTTGAGGCCTAATCAGCATGGAGCAGAGCGGAACTTCTCATGTCTTGCTTCCAATATTCCTGCTAATACATCCCAGAATGATGTTCGCTTTTTTTGCAACACTGTTATACTTTCACATATAATGAAAATGTTCAAGCAAATTTCACCTCAAAGCTGAGCTAATCAATACACTGCTTAACAAACAGCAATTCTATACTATGAACCTGATCCAATGCCCACTGAAGACAATGCAACAACTCCATCGGATTGGGTCTGCTTGCCTAATTCTCCTGTCACTTGCCAATGTAAATCAGAAATACCTCCACCAAAGTCAGTGGAATTACATCACTGTGAAACTAGTGTGAGAGGAGAATTGGTCCCAGGATCTGACAATCCTTCTATAGACTGACAAGTAGATATGTGTGAAAAAACATCATTTTGCATGGAAGTCATGATCAACTTTACTATTGTGCAATGCTATATAAAGGGTTAATGAAAGCACCGTGAAATACCTTGTCTGACTGCAGTAGGCCTATTGAAAGTATCTGGAGAGAAAGAAGAAGGCATACTTCTTCCCCAAGCACTCACAGGTCTTTTTCTGTTTGGTGGATGGGGTGTAGTTCCATTTGTTCCATGCATCCAAATGTTGTGAATGCTGGATGGGTGCTGAGACTGGAGGAAAGGCAGCTGAGGAGGAGCTGTTGAAGGGGTATAAAGTTTTGTCTCTGAAATTAACTGGAACTGCCCCGGCCATGCTATGTGACGTTTCATTGGTGGGCAAGACATCTGCAGGAGGAAAAAATGCAATCTTGTACAGAGGATGGGAAAAAAATTACTTACTACAGTGGGTGTATGTTATATATTAACACAGAACCCAGCAACATGTATGAATAGAAGAAAAATTCAAATCAACCTGCATTACCTTGCCATTTTCAACTTTGAATTTCATCTTTCATCATGCTACCTAATCACGTCGCTTTGTTTGGTCTTTCCGCAGTTCTTCACAGTCATCTCTAAACTTGGATAACCTAAACTATTGTCATCTATAAAATCTGCCACCTCTTGATTCACCTCTTTTCCAGATCGTACATTAATATCTGTACATCGATACTAGTAAAACTCTTTCCGATGCTCCGTTGGCACACTTTGCTATGATGACAACTAAAATGAAGTCTATCAGACTATTCATGTGATTAAAGTTAGGCATGTTCTTAAGTGCCTACCTGGCTGAGGTCTGAGTTTCTTAATCAACTCTTGCGCAGAATTTTGCCAAAGGCTTTGTAAAAGTCAAACTGGTTCGCCTGTATCCATTATATTATTGACAAGATTTAAGAATTCTAGTAGATTACAAAGCACAAATTTCCTTTACACAAACAATACTGGTTTGTACCAATCATATCAAGTTTGTGGATCTTTGGAGGCAAATCTGGCTAGGTATTCATAGAGCTTGCGGTTGAGTTATGGTTTCATGTGGAAACCATTGGTCTGCATGATTTCAACCCAAAACCCTGGCATGTTGGCAAAGTTTCACTTTCAGACAATGGATGGAAACCCATGTTCAGAGAAACTGAATAAAAGTTTGTAACCTGGGGTAACTGAATGAAGGGAACTATGCCAAATAAAGTGATTAAGTGAATGGTTTGTGAGCAACAACCCTGTGGTGTGGACAGGAGACTAAACTGGAGGCTATCTTCTTCAGTAGTTTTCAAACTTTTGTATTGGTGACCCCTTTCACACAGCAAGCCTCTGAGTGCGACCCCCCTTATAAATTAAAAACACAATTTTTTATATTAAACACCGTTATAAATGCTGGAGGCAAAGCGGAGTTTGGGGGCGGAGGCTGACAGCCCGCGACCCCCATGTAATAACCTCACAACCCCCGAGGGTTCATGACCCTCAGTTTGAGAACCCCTATCTTAATCTGTCATTTGGTATTCTGAAACAAAGGCTATCTCCATGAGGACACCTGGCTTGAGATCAGATTTTTCAGCCTGATAGCCCTACATGTCAGAGAAATTATGTAGGGCACCGCATGCTCATCTGTTGTTAAGAGCATCTTTCAATTGTTGTAGAGATGAGTCAAAACTGAAGCTTTGAATTCCAATTCCTTTTAATTTCATGGTGTGGGTTTATATTCCTGCCCTGGAATACAAACCTGACCCGTGGTTTCAATCTTGGGTCAGATCCAAAATCAAGACAGGTCTAGTTTCCAGTTTGGTTGTGAATGAATTCTGAGGAAAACTGACAAAGGCTTGTGAGCTATGACCCATCCTATCCAAACCATATCCCTGGTTCAGCATTAAACCTGAACCCAACCCTAATCCTGAGCCACAACTAAACACTGCTAACTTGACCCATCTCTAGAAGAAGCTGGACCTTCCACAAAGAGATGACCCCACTGGCAACCAGTAAGCATGCAGTACAACACTCCCCTTGCTACCGGACAAGTCCCAGAATTTGGAAAGGGGAGAGCCTGAGTTTCTTATCAGCTGTGTGGCCCATGAAATCAAGTGCTTTGGTCATATCACACTAGTATCCTTCCACAGAAAGGGTGAGCCAGGTATCTCTCTAGGGAGCCACCCAAGTTTTCAGGCAAAAGCTAATATTGCTCCCTGGACTTCAGTATTCCGCCAACCATCATTCTTTAACACCATCCTTTTTGGATACAGGTCTGCACTACATGACTGGAATACGCTGATTTTCCAAGCAAAGAAAGAGGCTGGACTCAAACAATCTCTTGATTGTGGCCTACTTGCAGCTGGAAAAATATAACCACTTTGGGAAACAAACAATATTTTGTCTGTTTTATTCTTTTAAATCTGTTTACCACTGAGGCGTTAGCAATTGACTCCTCAGAGTTTATCTTTTGCTCTGTGACACTGTGGCAATATAGGTACCTAAAATTCTTTCAGGCAAAGGAAGGTTACATAATAAGACAATACATACCAGCAGAATGTGACTTTGCCCTCCCCACAGTCCCCCTTAAATAACTAACAGTGGAGAAAAAGGACATGGCTGGTCACTTTGGGTTCACTTAAGGTGAACTGAAATACTTTAAAAATACATACAAAAAAGATCCTAAGTCTTAAACAGAATGCATGAATGAATTAAAAACTTATAAATAAAATCTGAAGCAAACAATGTGAAAATAATGTCCTCTTTTACTTACCTGCCCAGACCCAATTTCAGGGTCCAATGTTTCTCCTGCAAGAATTGATAACATCATACACACCTAAAGCAGCATTATGAATGCAGCTCCTCACTCTGCATAGGTGTTTGTGATGCTCAGATCTTGACAGGTTAAAAAAAAGGCTTTTATTTACCTTTAAAATGTACTTGTAATTTCAGGGCTACACATTTGTTTTGTTCAGGATTGAATAATTTAACATTTTATACAATTATAATTAAAAAATTGTTTCACCTTTAATACTAAAAAAAAGGGAAAATCATCTTTTTATATATATACAAATACTTGGTGCACTGAAACTTAACAATGATTTACCCTCTACAGTGAGCAATGTCAAACATCAAAGCTATTATATCAAAAAGGAATCATAAAGCCTGAAGCTTTAAAAAGGCATGTTGTGCTGTTTCTGTGTCAGTGTGTATTGTACATAAAATATTTTTTAAATGAAAATGCCTGATGTTCTGGTGTGGACAAACTTTATTTAAACAGTTTTTCTGCCACAGTATTGGAATTCTAACTGCATCAGTTCATAAAGTTGGTTTCACCACCTAAAATCAGGATTTTCTCCTCAGTTATCAGCACTCTGTGTATCTTTGGGGAGAGGAGTCCAAACTACTAAACTAGGCTAGGACATCCAAAATCTGCATCCAGATACTCAAATTGGCACTCACGGACTATTGTATCTGTACTGAGGTGGTGCTCGGAGGCCCAGGATCATGGCTTAATTTTGCTTGGCACTCTACACACAACAGTGATAATCCCAGTCCCTGCCCAGAAGAATTTACAATCTAATTTATGTATAGGAAATGTAGCCTAGTGCTTAAACCACAGGACTGAGAACCAGAATTTCTGGATTCTGCTCCTGGCTCTTCCACTGATTCACTCTGCGACCTTGGATAGGTCACTGAACAGCTCCCTGCCTCAGTTTCCCTACCCGTACAATAGAAGTAATGCTTCCTTAATCTACAGGGGGCATATGAGGCTTAATTATTATATGTTGGTAAAGCACTTTAAGATACTGTGATGGAGTTATAACGGTGCAAAGTGTTAATATAAATGTGCATTTTGTGTGCCCAATGTTAGTCTGAGTGAGAGAATATGTCACCCCATTAAGTCACCCACTTTGGAAAGTTGGGCCTTGACTATTTATTTGAAGTGCAGCATTTCTGTGTTTGCAATATGGAAATACAAACTATTGCGATATCCTTTGCTATCTGCTGCATTTGAGCACTCCTCCCCAAATTCTGGAGGCATGTCTCCAAAGACAAGCCTGAATCTATCAGATTGTTTTTTATCCTATTCAAGGCAGATTTCTAGATCTCCAATTTCTTGAGATCTTCAAGACCCAGAGCAATAAAAGTATTACGGGTTCTTATCAATTCCTTCCCATATAAATTGCCTGAAATCTTGGTGATACTAGCTGACTGTCCGGTGACAGGAGTACTACCTTTTTAAATGTCATTTCCTATATATGTGAATGCTTTTATTTTATACTGTGTTCAAGAGTTGTGGTGTGACATTGTGTCTTTGCTGGATGCCTGTCTCATGCTAAGGACATGAATGATACTATTGCTAATAATGCAATCACATATAATCCAGGTATACTTTTGAGTTTGAAAAAGGATCAAATTGCTTTTAAGCACAAATTTAAAAAGGTAACAGTTTTTATAATCTGTTATTTTTACCATTTAACTTTTGAAAACACAACTTGAAAAGGGAATTTTCCAGTTTGGATACTCTGTACTTCTAAAGAAGAATCAGACAAACTGGAGATATTTCTGAGTTTTCTAGAGGCTTAACTTTTCTTGTCCCTAGTGCATTTGTAGAAGAAAAATCCAGGTTTTACAACCTCTCAATGAAGTGCCTGAGATTGTGCAGCAGGTGGAGCTAGAGACCTCTTATTTTCCTATTCCCTCTCAATAAATCCATGAACATTTTTTCCCTTGCTTTTAAGAGATAAGGCTTCTCAAATGGCAAACAACTTGCCTGCGTACCATATCTCGCTATGCTGACTTTTTGAAAAAGAAAATGTTAAAACCTGAGTAAGATATCTAGGCTGTGATTAAAGTACAATTATCACACTTTATTTCTGAAAGAGTCTCTCTGTTTGAGATGCATGCCCTATACCTAGGGCCCTACCAAATTCATGGTCCATTTTGGTCAATTTCACGGTCATAGGATTTTAAAAATTGTAAATTTCATGATTTCAGCTATTTAAATCTGAAATTTCATGGTGTTGTAACTGCAGGGATCTTGACCCAAAAAGGAGTGGGGGAGGGGTCCACAAGGTTATTGTGTGTGTGGGGGGGGGGTTGCGGTACTGCTACCCTTACTTCTGCACTGCTGCTGGCGATGGCGCTGCTTTCAGAGCTGGGTAGCTGGAGAGTAGCGGCTGCTGGCCGGGAGCCCAGCTCTGAAGACAGAACCACCCCCAGCAGCAGCACAGAAGTAAGGATGGCATGGTATGGTATTGCCACCCTTACTTCTGCGCTGCTGCTGGCGAGGCACTGTCTTCAGAGCTGGGCGCCTGGCCAACAGCTGCCGCTCTCCAGCCACCCAGCTCTGAAGGCAGTGCAGCAGTAAGGGTGGCAATACTGCAACCCCCCTGCAATTCCCTTTCCGGTCAGGACCCCCAATTTGAGAAACGCTGGTCTCCCCCATTAAATCTGTATAGTACAGGGTAAAAGCACACAAAAGACCAAATTTCACAGTGGGAGTCCAGATTTCACGGTCCATGATGTGTTTTTCATGGCCGTGAATTTGGTAGGGCCCTACCTATACCTAAAACAGGACATACAGCTGGAACTGGCAATGTCTCTCAATCCAATAGAACCCTTTAAAGTACACCCACTGTACTAGCTAAAGAAGTGAGTATCAGAGAAGGGGAACATGGAACATGCAAAGAGGATGAGGGGAAAAAACAGAAGGAAAAGAAAAGAAGCTCCTTGGGCATGGACCAACTTTTTGTGCTGTTTGTACAGCACCAAGCACAATGGGAGCATAATGGAGGGGCACACAGAGTCCTTAGTGGCAGGCCTGGATTAACCAATATGCACTGGATGCACGTGCACAGGGCTCCCATTTCAGGGAGTTCCTCAGCCACCAGAAAAAATAAACAGGGCCAGAAAGGGGGCAGGGCAGAGCCCCAAATTGCCATAGTACACAGGGCCTCTGATGCTGGTGGTGGGAAATTGATGGAGCCAGTGTGGAAGAAGGAGAAGCATACAGACTCCCTGCCATGGGGGAAAAGGCGGCGCGGGGCGGGGGGGGGGAATGAAGGGCATATGGGGAAGTGAAAATGGAGATAAACCCAGAGCCACTGGTTTGTGTTGGGGAGAATGAGGGAACCTGGAATGGCAGAACAGGAGAAATGGGAGGCACACAGATCCTCTGGTGATGGCAGAAGCAGCACAGAGTCCCTGAAACAGAGGAGGATGGGAAGACAGCACACAGAGAGTTGTGGAGTGAGAAATGGAAGTATGCAAGGAGCCCCTTGTGAGTGACCCTCTAGTACATAATAATACTGAAAATGAATGAGAACTAGAAAGGTGAGGGATGGAAAAAAGGACCAGAAATGCAGAAATTACAAGAGGGAGAAACATGAGAGAGGGAAAAAAACTAATAAAATAAGCAGAATTTTTTAGATTTTATTTTTCTGGTATATTAATATAGTAATATGTTTGGGTTTTAAATGTAACCAAATACATAGCTAGTGGAGCCTTATTCCGCACTGTAGCTTGATGTCAAAGGGAGATTTACCTGAGAAAGGAGGTCCTGAATAGGACCAAGGAAATGGTAATTTGGTATAATCACATGATTAACAAATCCAGTCAGACTTCAGCAATTTCAGCCCATTTTTTACCAAACATTTAACTCCATTCTTTGTATCAATATAATTATTTTTATAAATAAGGAGGGTTGTCCATTCCTCAATTCTAGATTTTACACATCTGTCTGCATTATTCTTACATTAGCATAAGAGGGTGAACAAATTAATTAAAAAAGGAATTTCTAAAAGGTCTTGGGTGAAAACTCCTCAAAGGGTCCAGAATTTCACCCCTGGAGCAGACATTCATATGCAGCTACTTTACAAAATAGGAAGATATTATCTACTCCTGGGACATTACCTGAGAAGTGTTTTCTATCACTAGCTCATAGGATGTTCCTCCTGAACCAAAGTGCAGAATATCCCCTGCACCCACTTTCACTGCTGCATTCTGTATATGGCAATCATTAACGAAAGTGCCATGAAGAGAGTTGAAATCTTGAAGAACAAAACTGTTTTCTGATTCGCTGAATTCAATGACTGCATGATGATCTTCAATACCTACAGACTGAAATTGGATAACAGTTTCAGAAATCTTCCCAGAGTTATGGATCATAATGGGGATTTTGCTGGGATTTATTTTGCTTTGTCTCATCTGGCTAATATACCATAATATGTTTTGGCTCAGAGGCAGTCAAAATGGCTGCTGATTGCTCATCTATTATGCAAGATACAGTATTTTTTTTTATTTTGTTCAATGGCTAGATTTTTTTTTTTAAGCTTCACATTTTTGCATTTTATAAGTCAGACAAGTCATCTGAATAGGTACCAAAATATACAAGATCACAGCAATAAAAATGGATAACTGATGTTACAGATAGATGCATATGATAATAATGAAGGTATCAAATTAAGAACTTTCCCCTCCCCCTTGCTTCTTGTGATCTTTCTCTATAGCATATTATTTCATATCCAATCTAGGCCCCAATACTACAGACACTTAAAACACGAGTAACTTTGCACATTTAGTACTTCCATTGAACTCAGTGGGACTACTACTCACATATGCAAATATTTGCAGTATCAGGACCCTAGACTGTAAGCTACTTGGAGCAAGAACCTGTCTTTTTTTCTCTCTGTAGTGTAAAGCATCCTTGACACTTACTGTAGAGTGCTAATATACAAGTGTTAAATAGTACCAACATTAAGATCTACTACATATATTTCCGTGTGTGTTCTAAATAAATAAACACTATTTAAACTACTTTTGAGTATGAAGGTGCAGACTGTTTTCAGTTGGCTCTTTTGTTGACTAACTTGGGTGTGGTACACTTGAGTGTACAATACCCCTAATGTATGCTCATGGTTTAAAAACGCTCCTGTGTAGACACATCTGTGTTTTTTAGCAAACTAATCTCAAGAAAAGGAACTATTTTTAATTGTGATCTTAAACTTAATCACAGATGAAACAGCTGTAAAATGACATTCTGATCCAACCCTTATTCACATAGGGCTTGATTCGAAGCACCCCGAAGTCAAAGGAAAGATTCCCATTGACTTCAATGGGCTCTAGATCTAGTCCCTAGCACTAATGAGGCATTATTTTCTATAATACGCTATCCTTTTCTAAGTGTTTTAGCTAGTTCATGTATGAACACCTGTAATGATGGTGCTTAAGCAACCTCCTTGGCAAATTATTGAGTTGTCTAATTGAACTGGTGGTTCCTAATGTCTATGTTAAGTTTTCCTTTTTTTAGTTACCGGCTGTTGCTTCATGTTATATGACCATAATCCATATCAAATAATTCCTCTCTCTTTTGGTTGTCTAACTTAAATATTTAAACAGGTTCTCTAATTGCCATTTTATCCCTGTGGCTCTAAATGACTGGAATTATTATAAATGGGGTAATGAAGTTAAGTAAGAGTAAGTGCTGTAAAGAATAATAATGAAAATAAATGTTATGCTCATACCTTCAGAACAAGATCTGAATCTTCATGTCTTCCTATAGTAGTTACTTTTGATCTCAGCATAAAAACACCATCTGAACTTTTTAAAAAGGCTTTCATTGTCTCCTCTTTTTACCTGTAAGGTTTTATTTTTAAAAAACTCATTTTCTAAGTGTTATCCAATGCACTTTTGCAATTACTCCAGTCAAAACATTTTGAATAGCTTAAATGAACAGTATCAAATAACATGGAAGAAATATCATAATTTATTTACAGGGATGCTGTCAGATTGAATTTAAAATTAAAGACAAATTCTCTACCCTGTGTAACTAAAAAAAAAGATTAAAACTGATTTTCAAGACAGCCTGAGAGAGTTACACATCCATTTACCATTAAAATTCAAATCCCATCCGAAGACAGAAAGAATTTTAAATATCTAATTTACTTTTTATACCATTCATGCTATCTGAGACTGAGAGGCATCTGGAGACTGGTCAATTTCACTTTCACAGATGCTGCAATGTTTGCCTTTCATGCAGGGTGAAAATATTTAGATCCAAACAAGCAAATGTTTTTATTGACCTTTTAAAAATATCATTACCAATGTTTCTTTGTAAATTTGTTTCCCCACTTGCAACCTAGACTAGCTGACAGTTCCACTTTAGGAGGTCTAACATTCACAGCAGGGTGAGAAACTTGTGTACCCTCTGCAAAATTGGTATCCTATGCAGCTGACATCACACCAAAAAGATGACTACCTCCCACAGTGAGTTTCATCTGTAAAATACCAATTCTGCTTTAAAACTTTGCGTTCAGTCCTGCAAGTGCTCTATGCACAGAACTCACATTTCTGCTGGTATAAGTTCTGCACATCATTTTGAAATGCATTTCACAGTTCATCAGTGATGTGCTACCAATATTTTAACAAGGTTCTCCAATAACCATTTGCCCACGTAGCCTATGACAAATCCTCTGTTCAAGAAGCACTGGAGAAACTATTCATTTGCATTCCACTATATACAAACATACCTTTTATATCCATAGCCAGGAATGAGAATAACAGCACTTAGCAAACAAACTAAAGCTACATGTCATTGGAAAAGCCTGTACTATGATACTGAAAATTACATAACAAATATTGAGAGTGCAGCAGAGTTCAATATGTATAATTTGAAGGAGGGCATGAAGACCTATTAAGGTCTCCACATGTAAAGCTAGCTACATGCACTAACCTAATACACCATCATTGGATCCATTGCTGGAAAGCAGAGAGAATGGTTTGGGAATCGGTGCTGCCCCACTTCCTCTCACGAGGCTGTGGAAAAGCAGAAGGGTAGCAGCTCATGTTGAGTCCAAGGGATACATAAGCATGCAAAAATCATGTGGAGAGAGGATATTCTAGGATATGTGTACCTGCAAGGGAGGGCTATATCTCAAGTTTCTACAGAAAAGTGGTCAGAGTTCAAGGGGCCATTGGTTCCTCAAGACAATGGTTCTCAACCAGGGGTACACATACCCCTGAGGGTACACAGAGGTCTTCCAGGGGGTACATCAACTCATCTAGATATTTGCCTAGTTTTACAACAGACTACATAAAAAGCGCTAGCAAACTTAATATAAACAAAAATTTCAAACAGACAATGACTTGTTTATACTGCTCTATATACTATACACTGAAATGTAGAAAACAATATTTATATTTCAATTGATTTATTTTATAATTATATGGTAAAAATGAGAAAGTAAAAGCAATTTTTCAGTAATAGTGTGCTATGACACCTTTGTATTTTTATGTCTGATTTGGTCAGCAAGTAGTTTTTAAGTGAGGGGAAACTTTGGGGTACACAAGACAAATCAGACTCCTGAGAGGGGCACAGTAGTCTGGAAAGGTTGAGAGCCATTGGCTCAGGATAATGTGGGGGGAATTCTGGGCTTTGGGTAGTAGAAGGGCAATAACCAAGGGTGAGAAGGGAAACTAGCAAGCAGAGCATGGTGATGAATCCCTAGATTGCTTATTTCTTTGCTTTTTACGGTTTGCATTGGTGTCTGTCAACCTTAACTCAATTGTCCTGCTCTAACTATAATTCAAATGGTACAACTCCCCTCGTGGGGATTCAACTATACTGGTATAAATGTGCTTATACCAGGACAATTTATTCCTATCAGGAAGTGGAATAATAATCTATAACAGAATAAGGCATCTTTGTATGGGTATAACTGTGTCCACACTAGCTGTTTGACCGGTATAACTATATCACACCCCTACCAAATATAGTTACACCTGTACATAAACTGTGCATAGGCCAGGCCTTAGTTTTGAAGCTGTTTGTGTGGCGATATGCTGGATCTCACACACACGACTGCAAGTATTTTTTAACCCTCTGTGTAAAGTTGCAGCCTCTGGCCCTGGCAGATTTCTAGCCCACCCACAGAACAGCCTGTACCGTACTGCCCCAGTGAGTCTCAGAAACAAAACTTTATCCTCCCCAGAGCCCTTAATCGCAAGGCGACGGTTTAGCACAGGGCAGGGTTCCTCTCCACAAGGCCCTTGGAGTCAAGAGGGTTGCCACCTACATGGGTCTCTTGGGTAAGCGGGCACCTCGCACAGGGGTGGCTGGGAGGGGGCTGGCCTGGCACCCCTGTGGAGCTCCATGGGGGCAGTGGGAGCCTTGCACGATGCAGGCGGTGGAGTTAGTGGGATTACTACACGAGGGGGCCCCTCACATCAGCGGGGGTCGAGCCGAAGGAGACTGGCCGTGCCAGTGGGAGCCTTGTACGAGGGGGCCTGGTGTCTCCTTGAGGTCAGTGGCGGCCTGGGGTCCGTGGGGTCCCTCAGGGCAGCGGGAGCCTTGCCGGGCAGGGGTGGCAGGGCCCCAAGGGGACCAGTGGGGGTGCTGGGCGTCTTGCCCCTCAGGCCAGAGGGGGCCTGCTCCATTTTGGGAGTCCCGTCCCTGCAACAGCCCCTCGGGCTGGGCCGCCCCCAGCCCCCCACGCAGAGCCCGGGGCAGCACGAGCGGCCCTGCTGCTCCCCACTCACCAGCGCTGCCGAGGCCGCTGCGGGCATTAGGGCCCCGGGGGCGTCCCCCCGTCGAGCCAGGCCGGCCTGAGGCGGTGCTAGGCCTCTGTGTTACCCGGGTCTCCGGGGCAACCGAGGCGGAGGCGGAGCGGGGAGGCTGCCCCAGCGCTCGGGGCCGGGGCCGGGCTGCAAGCAGGCACCCGGCGGGGACAGGAGCGGCGCCCCCGCGGCTTAGGGCTGCACCCCCGAGCGGGCGGCGGGAGGCGGGGGCAGCCCCGGCGCTGCGCTCGGGGTTGGGGGGGGCTACAGTGGCCCTGGCTGGGGCTCCTTGCACCCATGCCGGGGCTGGGGCCTTGCTCTTGAGACAGGCAAAGGTGAGCTATAAACACGGCTCACTGAGTCAGGGCAGCGGGGATCACCCTTTAGCGACCCCCCGTTTTGATTTTAAACATTTCGGGGACACACTGGTGAACAAGGAACGAAAACGACAGCAAGAATCCCGGCCAGGGGAGGGAGGGGATGGGAGGGAGGGGATGGGCCCTGCTGCTAAAACATGGTCATAACTGTAAAAAGTATAAGGTTTACACTGTGCACCGACCAGCCCCCTGCCCACAGTGCTCGGATGTTGTATTCCTTCCACCCCACCTACCCTTGGGGTTGGGTGACCAGATGTCCCGATTGTGTAGGGACAGTCCCGCTATTTGGGGCTTTTTTTTTATATGGGCTCCTATTACCTCCCACTCCCTGTCCGGATTTTTCCTACTTGCTATCTGGTCACCCTACTTTGGGGAGGGAGAGGGGAAAGAGGGCTGCTGTTTCAAATTGTAAGGTTTTCAGGCCAGAACCCATCGCCTCCTAAGAATGGACCTTTGATCTGACCCAATATGGCCATCTAGTCCAGTATCCTGTCTTCTGCCAGGAGGACTTGTGGCACCTTAGAGACTAACAAATTTATTTGAGCATAAGCTTTTGTGGGCTACAGCCCACTTCATTGGATGCATAGAATGGAACATATAGTAAGGAGATGTGTGTGTATATATATACACACATATACACACACATACAGAGAACATGAAAAGGTGGGAGTTGTCCTACCAACTCTAAGATGCTAATTTAATGAAGAGAAAAAACTTTTGTAGTGATAATCAAGATAGCCCATTACAGACAGTTTGACAAGAGGTGTGAAAATACTTAACACGGGGAAATAGATTCTGTCTTCTGACCATTCCCTCTGGGACCCCTGGCGGCCAATGCCAGGGGTCCCAGAGGGAATGAACAGACCAGGGAATCATCAAATGATCCATCCCCTGTCGCTCATTCCCAGCTTCTGGCAAACAGAAGCTAGGGACACCATCGCTGCCCATCCTGGGTAATAGCCATTGATGGACCTATCCTCCATGAATGTATCTAGTTCTTTTTTGAACCCAGTATGTTTGTATAGCACCTAACCGACTTTGGGCATCACCCTACTGTAAATAATAATCAGCTAACTACAACAGGGCTTGGGTGGACCTTACTCCTGCACAAGAACAGAACAGCCTAGTGTAAACACAGCTCGTTTTCCATCCAGATCTCATCATCTATACCTGATTCTATAATACCCTTGTGGGCTAGGGGAAAGAGCTGTTTTAAAAACAAAAACAAACAAGCAAACACAACAACCACAGGTAACCTGTATGTGAGGAGGGATACAGAAATTAGACAAAGTTAACAATGAAAAAGACAACCTAAAAAAAAGACCCCACTAAGGGCCAAAGTCTGCCCCGATTACACTCCATGCAATCATTTTAACTTCAACAGTCAACTGCAGATCAGGGCAGAATCTGGTTCAAAATTGGATACAGAAAAAAATCCCAGTAACTCTGCCTTACCTATTAAAAACAATACTTTCACAATCCAGAGAAGTACAAGTTCAAAGTAATTTTGAGTTTGTACATTGTGATCATACATGACACTGTTTAATCCACATTTTCTAAGAATTTTTTTAACCTAGATTCCATAATGTAAAGTAACTAGTTTAAAAGAAAAAAATTTGTTCCTAAATTCTCTTGCCATTGTGACAGACATTTTTCTCATGTCATTTTTGTAAACCACAATTTCTTAA